ACAGAGAGACAGAGACACACACAGAGAGAGAAAGATCTAGAAGGATACACCAAACTGCTCATAGTGGTTAAACTTGAAAAAGGGAGTAGGATGACTGATTTGAATGAAATTCATTTTATAGGTTAAAAAAGAGGTCAAATTGTGGCAATTTCATACGGTACAATATAAAATTATATTAAATACTCAAGATTAAATGAATTACAATGAGAATATATTCATGTATTACTTATAAACAAAATAAAACACAGTTAAAAAGCAGTCCCCGGCACTCCTAGTGTCTAGAGACATTTAAAGACAGAAATATAAGCCAAGTCCCCACTGATGCTGACTGCACTGTGCCTGAGCACATGGCCTGGACAAAACCAGGTTTCAGGCCTGGCTTTGCCCTCAACTGCCTGCTAGACTTTGGCCCAGCTGCTTCACTTCTGGGGCTTTAACTGGGGCACCTCACTCATGACCGAACTAATTCTCGTAACACTACAGCTGGGAACTGTCATCCATATATTACAGATGAGGAAGGGTATGGATTAGCTACTTTTTTTTTTTTTTTTTGACAGAGTCTCGCTCTGTTGCCCAGGCTGGAGTGCAGTGGCCAGTGTTGGCTCACTGCAACCTCCACTTCCCGGGTTCAAGTGATTCTTCTGCCTCAGCCTCCCAAGTAGCTGGGACTACAGGCGCGCAACACCATGTCTGGCTAGTTTTCTTATTTTTAGTAGTGACGGGGTTTAACCACATTGGCCAGGCTGGTCTCAAACTCCTAACCTCATGATCTGCCCACCTTGGCCTCCCAAAGTGCTGGGATTACAACGGGAGCCGGCCAGATTAGCTACCTTTTAAATCAGATCTAATAATCCACAAACAGGTGGGCTGAGATCCTGGGGTTCTGGGGCATCCACGTGGACTTGATGTACAAGCTGTTCCCTTGGCCCAAGGCAATCTTGTCTCTAGTGAAACTCCCAAGAAGAGCGTGTTCAGCACAAAGGAAGTGAATGGGGAGCACCTGGCTTCCAATGATCATTCTGTTGCTTGTTGCTTACCCTCAGCGGGACCCCAGCATTTATTCCCTCTGGGCTTCGGCTTCTTTTTTTGCAATGAGGAATAATAATAGTACCTGGATCACAAGATGTTATAGTATTTAGTGTTTAGAGAAGCTGTGCACCTGATTCTCACAACGACCCCGGGAAGAGGATCAAGTAAGTGGTCTCCCAATCCACAGATATTGATACTAATCACTAATGATTGTGCAAAGGTTTTCCGTTTCCAACAGGCCATAAAATAGATTATATTTCTTTAATTCTGAGAAAATAAGGGAGGAATCTTGGCTTTCATCGGATTCTCAAAGGTATACGTGTCCCCCAAAGAGTTCAGAGACAGGCATGTTACGCAGGTGCAGGGCCCCCCAGGGCTGTCGGACTCAAGTAACAGCTGACAACAAACGTTCACACGCACGATCTCATGCACCTTCATGGCAACCTGCGGGGAGGAATTACCGCCCCAATTCACAACCGCGGAGACACACAAAGGAGGGCGGCCACCGCCCGGGGTCGCCCTCCCGCCGCCTCTCTCCAGGCCAGGCCCGGGCGTCCCCGGGCCCCCCAGGTGAACCTAGGCAGCGCTGCCCGGCGACGCCGGACTCGGAGACGTACCTGACGCGTCCCAGAAGCCTGGGTCCAAGAGCTCCCCGAAACTCCCCACAAGGACCCTGTAGCCCAGCGCCACCTTGACCCACCGGCCTCCTGCCGCTCGCCCTCTACGCGCATGCGCAGCCCCGCCCGGCCTCTACCACTGAGGAAAGGGGGTCCCCAGCGCCAGCCTGCGCAAGTCCCCAGAAACTCCGCGAATCCCCTCGGGATAGTAAACGGCTTATACAAAGGCAACGTCTTCCGGGGTCCTTTACATGACTCCCGTTACAGACTGGGACCAGGACCTGCACTCACCCTCTCCACAGACACATTGGTCTGGGTCCCCGGCCGGGCTATCACTATGGAAACGGCGTCTCGCGGATACCGCGGCGGCTTACGAAGATTCCATTGTTAAGAGAAACCGGAAAGTGGTGACCGCATCGGCGTTGCCTGGAGAACGCCTGGACTCACAGTAGCAAAATGGGCCTCTCCCTGGCTCCCCTCCTCCTCCCCGAGCACAAGGCAAGGGGCACCCCTTGCTGTGAGTGTCGGGGGCCCACTCAGAACTTTGCGGAGTCTCCTGAGGAACCCGTGGCGGGACCGGCCCAGGGTTCGTCAAATTCTGCCGATGCTTTCAGGTAAGACGGACGGACAGACGCACCATGACCCACCTGTGGCAGCCTGCCCCCTCCGCACGCCCTCACGGTGGCTTCTACAAGCAAGGGAAACTGAGGCTCAGAGACTATCTAAAGGTCGCACTGTGAGCAAGGGCAGAGAACTACCGGAGAATCGACTCCAGATGTCCTAGAGGCCTAACAGCGTGTATTTTTGTTCCGTCTGATAAATGAAGAAACTCAGGCCGTTCAAAGAATGTTTACCGGCTGCCTGGTTGGTGTACCAGGTGGCACCATCCATTGAGGGGCAGGACCCAGGGGTCTTTGGTTCCAAGCGCAATTCTCTTCCAACTACAACACCTTGCATTAAAAGAGGGGAGACTTCTATATCCTAGAACCAAAATCTTCACAATCTGGCTCAGCATTGTACAATAGAAACATAAAGCAGGCCACACATGTAATTTGGAATTTTCTAGTAGCCACATTTTTTAAAAAGTAAAAAACAGAAAGGCCAAGTGAAATTAATTCGAGTGTTTTATTTCACCCCTTATGTCCAAAATATTACTATTTTAAGATATGATCAGTATTTCTAAATTTACACTACTTCCATTTCAAATTTTAATTTTTTTTTTTTTAAGATGGAGTCTCACTCTTGCCCAGGCTGGGTTGCAGTTGTGTGATCTCAGCCCACTGCAACCTCCCCTCCCAGGTTCAAGTGATTTTCCTGTCTTAACCTCCTGAGTAGCTGGGATTACCGGCACCCACCACCACATCTGGCTAATTTTTTGTATTTTTAGTAGAGGCGGGGTTTCACCGAGTTGGCCAGGCTCTTCTCAAACTTCTGACCTCAGGTGATCCACCCGCCTCAACCTCCCAAAGTGCTGGGATTCCAGGTATAAACCACCACACCTGGCCAAATGTAATGCTTTTTTTTTTTTGAGACGGAGTTGCTCCATCACCCAGGCCGGATTACAGTGGTGCAATCTCGGCTTATTGCAACCTCCGCCTCCCGGGATCAAGCAATTCTCCTGCCTCAGCTTCCTGAATAGCTGGAATTACAGGCGTGTGCCACCATGCCTGGCTAATTTTTGTATTTTTGGTAGAGACAGGGTTTCACCATGTTGGTCAGGCTGGTCTCGAACTCCTGACCTCGTGAACCATCTGCCTCCTTCTCCCAAAGTGCTGGGATTAGAGGCATGAGCCACCCCGTCCAGCCTGTAATGCTCTTGAATCATCCTGAAACCAGTCTGTGTAAAAATTGTCTTCCGTGAAACCGATCCCTAATGCCAAAAAGGTTGGGTACTGTGGATACAATGACTATTTATTGAATACCTATCATAAGCCAGTAGCATGCTCCTACTTGGGACAGAAAGGTGAACTAAACCAGACTAGATCCCTGCCCTAAAGGGGCTTATATCTACTGGAGGAGATAGGATAATCAGTCAGTTATGTAAATGAGTTATAACTGTCATCACGGCTTCAAAGGGGCAGTACTGTGAGATGACGTAAGAGTGTGTTTTTACCGTACAAGGAGGTCAAGGTGCTGAAGGAAGAGCAAAAGTTAATTAGATAAAAGGGAGCGGAAATAATACGCCATCCTAAATGTACCATCCAAGCAGCAGGAAGTGAGGCTGGAAAGGTAGAAGGTGCCCAGATGTGGGCTGGCCATCCCAGGAGCACTAGCAGCATGTGACAACTAAGTCCTTGGAATTTGGTTAAAGTGACTGAATAAGTATAATTTTAAGGCTGAATGCAGTGGCTCACATCTGTACTCCCAATACTTTGGGAGATGGTGATGATGCCACTGCACTCCAGCCTGGGTGACAGAGTGAGATCCTGTCTCAGACAAACAAAAGTAAAAAATTTTTAAAGTAAAGCGTTAAAAGAATGGCTACTCCATAAACAGAACAGCCAAGAGTAAAATTTTAATTTTAATCAATTTAAATTTTGGCTGGGCACAGTGGTGAAACCCCATCTCTACTAAAAAAATACAAAAGTAGCCAGACATGGTGGCGCATGCCTGTAATTCCAGATGCTTGAGAGACTGAGGCAGGAGAATCACTTGAATCTGGGAGGCGGAGGTTGCACTGAGCTGAGATCGCGCTATTGCCTTCTAGCCTGGGCAGCAAGAGTGAAACTCCATCTCAGAAAAATAAAAGAGCATTACATTCATTGTGTACTTTATTTCTACTATAATTACATTCTAACATATAATAAAATAATTCTACAACCCACCATAATGTAGAATCAGTGGGGGCCCTGAACTTCTTTTTCTGCAACTAGACAGTCTATCTAGGGGTGCTGAGAGACAGTGACAGATCATCAGGCATTAGATTCTCATAAGAGGCACACAACCTAGGTCCCTTGCATGCAGTTTGTAATGGGATTTGCACTGCTTTGAGAATCTAATTCTACAGCTGATCTGACAGGAGGCGGAGCTCAGGCAGTAATGTGAGGAATTGGGAGTGGCTGTAAATACAGATGAACCTTCTCTCCTTGCCTGCTACTCACCTCCTACTGTGCAGCTTCATTCCTAACGTGCCACAGACCTACACCCATCCGTGGCCCTGAGGTTGGGGACCCCTGATTGTATGACTAAAGGTTATACTAAAAAGTCTGTCAAATGCCAAAGTCAGCATTGTTTTATATGCTCAAATATATTAACTTTTTTGTTATTTCATTTTTCTTTTTTTCAACTCCCCTATTCTGAGAAGCATCAAATATGTTATATATGTATGTATGTATGTACGTACGTATGTATGTATTGAGACAGTCTCACTCTGTCTCCCAGGCTGGAGTGCAGTGGCGTGATCTCCACTCATTGCAAACTCCACCTCCTGGGTTCAAGCAATTCTGCGTCAGCCTCCCAAGTAGCTGGGATTACAGGCACCTGCCACCACGCCCAGCTAATTTTTGTAGTTTTAGTAGAGATGGAGTTTCACCATATCAGCCAGGATGGTCTCGAACTCCTGACCCCAGATGATCCACCTGCCTTTGCCTCTCAAAGTGCTGGGATTATAAGCCTTAGCCACCATGGCCAGCCCAAATAAGGTAACTTTAAACAGGGCGTTTAAATCTTGACTGCCAGAATGTGTGCTCCATGAGAGCAGGTGTCTTATTCTTCCACTCATCCGCCCCCAGCACATAGCATAGTGCTTGCCACAGGGTAGATATTTAATGAAGCTAGTTTTCTTCCCTCTCCTTTTGTCTTCCCCAAATAATGGCAGTAAAAACTTACCATGTTTCAGAGAATACCTAAAATGGTATGATGAAATATTCAGAAGGGGCCAGGAACGGTGACTCATTCCTGTAATCCCAACACTTTGAGAGGCCAAAGTGGGTGGATCACCTGAGGTCAGGAGTTCGAGACCAGCCTGGCCAACATGGTGAAACCCCATCTCTACTAAAAATACAAAAGTTAGCCAGATGTGGTGGCGGGCACGTGTAGTCCCAGCTATACTGGAGGCTGAGGCAGGAGAATCACTTGAGCCCGGGAGATCAAGGCTGCAGTGAGGGAGCTGGGATTGCACCACTGCATTCCAGTCTGGGCTACGGAGCAAGATCCTATCT